TAGCAGCCAGATAGAGTAAACAAAGTGTAATTTAATGCAATTTTTCGGCATTGATAGCTAGCTTTAAAAAATTTTTAGAATTATTTTCCTGACGCTATCAAATTCCATTTTTGAAGATGCCAAGAGCCATAGAACATAAGACGGCGCACAACTAAGGTATCATTCGATGCAGATTTTCCTTCTCTTTCTAATAAATATTTTTTCTTTTCGAATTGTGGGATCTTTGGCGATAAAGTTCCCATAGTTCTTGATTTTGAACCCGCCCCAGCCTCCACATGTAAAATGCGAAACCTTATATTTCCAAGCGGTAAACGCTCAGTTGCTTTCTAAAAATTGTGGATAATCGTAACTGACTTTTGAGAGCAGCAAAATCCGTAGATTTGCCGGTGTTCGGGCGTTTCTGTATTTTGGGACTTTGCAAAAGTAAAGACTTTTGGAAAAATTATCTCAAAAAATACTGAAAGGCCAGCTGAATACGCGAAAAAATTGCATTGTCTTGCACTTTGTTTACTCTATCTGGCTGTTGTCAAAGCTTTCCCAAAAGTCAAAAAAGACGATTGTGAAAAATTGCCAAAGTTGGACATGGTAGAAACCATGGGTTCAAAATTTCGGCCATCATCTCAGTGATCACAGCAGTAAGCGATATGAGAGTATGACTGCTAGAAAGAGGAAGAAAAGCTGCATCGTATAGTACCCAAAGCGTTTCCCTATCTTCATTTCACGTCTTTTTATGATAGGTTGGAAAAACGGAAAGAACTTTCGGAACGACCTAATAGAATTCAAATAATTGCACGAAATTAGCATTTTGAAAGGCAAACTCAGCCACCTTCATAAATGAAGTGTACTTCTGAAATAAGCTTACACCTCATACGGTTGCCAGCATGTTGCCCTCGGACATCATGATACGAAACATAATCTTTTGCATCTTGTTTTGTTGATTGATAAATATGAAAGCACTTCAACCCGTAAAAGAGCAACAAATGAAGTCATTTCTGCTGAGTGTGAGTTGCTAAACAAACGTTACCATTTTTTAAGAAATGCTCTTTTAAAAGCCACTTGAGATGAGATATCTGTTGCTGAGTTTTACGACTTTTGCTATCGGAGTGGCCTTGTCTTCTGCGGAAGACTATAAGAAATTCACAAATCCGAGATACCGGGTTCAGATCCTCTCACTGGCCATGCGTTGTTTATTTTCCTGACGCCACAACCTTTTTGAAAGCTTTTGCATACAAGGATTGCTGCTACAGTTAGTATTCATCATTGATCTCCAGCATCTCACCTTAGATTCACTTTGCTAGAGTTATTGTGCTATTTAATGATGAAGAAATGAATTTGCGCGCGTAGGCTCAATAAATTGGAATGGTGGTTTGATTGCAAATTTATAGTGAGAGTAAGAACTTGTTTTAAATCACATTAGTGAAAGTTTTACTTCTTAAGGTTATTTTCCACATTGGCACTGTTCATTTCAAGAAGAATGCGTGATGTATTTAAGAATTCTCTGGTGGCAAATCGTAGCATGAGGAAGAATTCGATTTCGTATGACGATGGGATCAATCACAATAACAATCGCGTCGAGAATGAGGAGAATAACGATATTTCATTCAAATATGTGATCCCCTATATGTATATCAAAAAGAGAGCCCCGCTGATAATCGAGTTGGCCATATTTTTAAAGTGCCGCACAACCCTAGAACTGACGAAGGCTATGCGAACGATTTGAATGATCTGAATGAGCACGCCGATTTGCAGATTAAGACCACGGTAATGGTCGTAGCCCTGAATTTCCTTCAACGCAATTTCGTTTTGACGAAAACACGGCTTAAGATGATTTTGCCTGTTTCAATAAAGATTTTGGTTTCTTTCAATCAAAAGTTAGTCCATTGCACATTGCTTAATATTTCGCAACCTGACAGAACGACATGAAAGATCCTTGAGCAAATATGTAACTACCAACATAGTGAACTACGCTTGGTAGATGCCTTCTAAAATTCTCAACTACCCTTTTCAATTTTTGATAGAAATAGTAGGTTCCATCAATGAAGGCACGGAAGGCTGCAATTCCGGATTTTCGCAAACCAAACTTCATGTAGAAACCGTTGTGCACTTTATGTGGGGTGGGGAACGAACACCTCAATTAGGTACCGCCTCCGCCGGCTGCTGGTCCTTTCGTCCTACTGTTATGCGCCGTGTTGGGCCCAATAGTCCGCGGAGGTGGTGCCTAATTGAGGTGTTCGTTCCTCCACCCCTTTGAGTGCTCAGCTCACAGCTATAGTGTGTCCCAATCGCGATAGGCAGGAACGTGCCGTAAGATTGCACGCAAGAGGTTTGCGCTGCATATGCTCACTGTCGGAGAGAGCGAAGAGATTGAAGAGGAAGCAAACAAGCAAATAATAGATGTGACACAAAGCTGTTAAGCTGCGGATACCATCCCAATTCCAAGGGTGCGTAGCAAGTGGTACCCAGGCAGTCGACTGCTGCCGCAGCCAACCGCCAGAGCTGCCGGCAAAGTCGCTGCAGATGGTACAGTAACTATGCTCGCCGTCTAAAACTCTTGCCGAAAGGTTTTCTCGCTCCTTGTTGTTCTGAGGTGCGAAATCAGCCTAGGAAAAGCGTGATTTCCTCGATATCTGTATTATTTTGAACGCCACAAAGTTCATTTTTTTGAGAAACATGCAAATAAACAAAGATAAAAGGGGAGAAGCTTTTAAAAGGAAAATGATGACAAATTCAAATCACTTCAAAGACTTAAAGGTAGCAGCTGAAAAGTTCAATTTCTCAAAATCCTAGAGATTTTTTTCTCGCTTTTACGTCGAAGAACGGAAGGGAACAATTACAGGATACAGGAAAATATTATGGATATAAGGTGTTAAGCGAGCTAAATAAGGCAAAATAGGTCAATAAAATTGAGCAGGTCAATGATAAAAGATGAAAATATGCCACATCCTGGTATAGAAGGGAACATCACCAAAAAGCGTGTACTATTTTAATCTACACAGTTCACTTCTCCAGGTATTTTAAAAAATAAAAAAATAGTAATGAAAAAAATTCGAAATCTAGAACTGATTGCAAGTAATGAAAGTTCAAAATTAAGAGAACCACCTCTGATAACCCTTCAACAAGACCGCATTTCGAATTCTGGATTGTTCATAGAAAAGTGAATTTGATTTCTAAGAATTCTTCGTAGGAAAATCAAGGATCCTTAGAACTACAGCGTCAATATATATTTATTGTACTTTGATTTCAAATTTTGTAACTGAAAAAACTGCTTGAATTCTTATTCATTCATTTTTGTGATTATTTGTGGATTTTTAGAATTTTTCGGTGTAGTTTTGTATTCGACTGTCTGGTTTTCAATGAGATATGGCTTTTCTCTGCATCAAAATAATATAGATATTGTGTTTTCTTACCGCTATAGCCATGACATTTTCCTGCATGTTCTCGTCCATTTTTCGGCGTAAAAGCGAGAAAAAACGTGCTCCCTCACTACGTCAATCTCACCATTTTCCAATTGACCTGGAAGTGCCTTCAAGTTATTGGTTGTTCAGACAATTTTCGCGAAGCGTTTTCGAGTCTCTTGATCTCAAAATAAATGATAAGTGCTTAGGATTGCTGCAGCTCAATGGGAGACAATTTTGAGGACATGGACGCTTGCGCTGTTGCTTGTTTGTTTTGAGCAAGAATTTGCTTCGACGTTGACTTTGACTAAGTTTTTTTTGTTTTAGGCCACTACTCAATACATGAGGTACATATTGTACTTGATCAACACTTACGAAATTATATCAACTATCAAATTATATCAACTACCAACCCGTTCATATCAAAAGTAAGACCGCTATGTAGATTGCGAGCATAAAAGGTTGTTGAAAGCGGCAAATTCCAGCCCCATTGATCCTAATTTATACCAGTATCTGCGATATTACATCGGAATTGCAAGCGCGCATCTAAACGCTCCGGAAGAAGAAAAAATTTATGTGGCTTATTTAACTGTTCCACATAATTTTTTTTAGCATTCTGCTGTTTTTTAGCTCGTTTCGCTACTGCAGCTAATGTAAGCTTTCGGATGTGCGTTGCGTATGGTGTATTTGGGGAGGTACCCGGCTCTGCCTAACCCACCTATGATGATGAACATGATGTGTTAGAGGACACACTTTTTTCGAGACGTTTTTTGCAGTTAAAAAAACGTAATCGTCGAGTACATCGCTATTATTGTTTCTGGTCTTTACCTATGCTCAATACGTGGTCTAAAAACGCCGCAGTCGCACAGCTAAAAACCTATGTAAGACACTGATTTGCAAGTGATGATCGCTGCATATCTAGGACGGTATAGCACTTTTTAAGAGCAGAAGTGATCGTGTTTTGAATGAATGAAGGAAGGAATCCGCTTAGGAGAAGTTGTTATGCCGCCTTCGGTAATGACCTCCAGGTTTCTAGGCAGTACCCTCATTTAGATTGACTGGCAGTGTTAAATTCACGTGCTTATTAGGATCTGTGTGAAGTCTCAGAAGATTGTTCAAGAGCTGTTTATGAATAACATATGCAGTTTGCACACTGATGAAAGTTTTGCTTGTTACGGTCTCGCAAAAAGCCTTGTTCTGCGAGACGTATTATGATGTTAGTCAGAAACTCGAATACCCCATTTAGGGGCAAAATCTCCATAGCATTGACAGTTTTAAGATTTTACTTACCGAATAGCAATCCAGTAATGGTTCGCTAAAAAACGGTATCACACTTAGTTAATCTTAGTTAAAGCTATGTATTCAATCTAAATTAGTAGGTTTGCTCTTGACCATCCTGTGGGACCCTCTCCAAGATGATTGCAGTATTTGCATGCACTGTGAATTAGCGTAGAGTTATTCTTACTAGGTCTGGCTTAAAAATTTGTTTTAAAATTTGTTTAAAAAAATTCTGCTCTTTCAAAAATCAGTATCAAACTGTTAAAAATTATGCATGTTGTGAAGACAAAACTAAGTTTTCCAGCTTTTTTTTTCTTCAAAATAAATAGCATGATAAAAGTATATATACATTACTGTTGCTGCAGTAGCAAATATAATAATTAAAATAAACCCGAAGGAACACAGGACTGAAAAATAAAATTACAATCATAGTTTTGTACACACTATGTACAGTTTCGATCCAAATTTACACTTTCTGTCCGGTAATGTGCAAAATACCCTTTCTGGTGAGATTGCTCTTCAGAGTTTGAACATTGACTCCTACTGGTAGCTTATAGCACCTAAAAATACAACATACATGGTTTCGTAGTATTTTCCACTTTTGCGAGTCAAAAGCTTTTGTTTCAGTTGATAATCTAACCCAACAATTTCAGAAAAGCAGCATTGGGTATGGTTTTTTACTTGGGGACATTTGCTTTGCATATAATTTCATAATTTCATTCAAAAATAAACTTTTTCTGACCTTGATATGCTTCTATTTACATCCATGGCACCGTTATCGCGCTCATCATGTTCCATTTGGATTTGCAAAAGATCGCCCATAGTTCTCACCTAGAACTACAAACCATGGAAGAAAGCTTGAAAAGAAGGTAAAAAAGTAAATGACCTTGATTTCTTTTGGTGAAAAGTACTTTGCATCCAGGTCAACTTCAAAATGTGTTGCATCTTCCACGACGTTAATGAAATCGTCATTTGTTTGGAGTGCCCAATCCCAAAGCTTGTTATGTTCGATGGCGATGCTCATGCTAAAGTAAAACTTTGAAAGTTAGGGGCAAGCACTAAGGGAATTGCATACCTGATAGGACGGAGTAAAAGTCCACTACTTGGCCTTCACTCGCCATCCTTATATCCCAAGAGAAATGTACTTTGTGCAGATAAATTACTCGGCAGTGATGAATAGGACACTGCCTTGAAGCGATGTTTTGTGATTAAACAGCTACGTCTTTTTTCTAGTGTTAGCTTTTTGTCTATGAGGTATATTTACAGAACCTTCACGACATCTGTTACGTTCAAACATCACTATCGATCATCTCCTTGAGAATATGAGGGAAGCATTTCAAATAATTAGCTTCGGTATAAAGCAGCGTCCAGGTAAATCTGGATGGGGATTTTAGAAGTAGAACGTGGAAAGTAATTTTTGGGCCCTAACTAAGACATGACCCAAGCGGCAACACAAATGACTCGCTAACGGCTGACTATGCCTCCAAAGACCCCAAAATCGTATTATCAGACGACTTGCATCGCGTTTGCATGCCTTCGCGCGAGGACCCACGCGAAACTGATGCGTCGCGCCATGAATCCATGCGAATTACGATCCTGGGGTCTATTTGGAGGCAAATATCTCAGCCGTTAGGGCACCATCTGGGCTGCTGGTTGGGCAGTGTCTTAGTCTGGGTCCCAATATTGCTATTTATGTAATGTCCCCGTATGTCCAGATTTGCCTGGACGCTGACTTCAACAAAACACTAGATTTCGTCGTTTAAAAAATTTCGTATTGATTTGAAACTCTGGTTCTACATAATTTCATACAATTATTAGCAAGTGAAGCAAAGCTCTTTTGGTAGGAGATGACGACGAGATAGATCTGCTGGTTTTGATACCACTCTTGAACAGACTCTGAGATTAGGCGAAAGTCCGTGATTTACTGATACTCGATTATTTTTTTTGCTAGCCTGTTGTTGGATAAATAAGTTTTTCAGTGTTCTACATTGAAAATATCGCATAATCTTAGACAAGGGGAAAAACCTCGAGGAAACGTGCATTTATTACATTGCAAATCGCCTTTTTTCGCTTTTTTTGTACCATCCATGTGATAATACAGCTTCGAAAGACGTCATGTGGCTGTAAAGTGCTTGGAACAAACACTGACTGTCGAATCATGTGAGGATGAGGTATGAGAAAGCAGATTACTTGTCTATTCTTATCTCCTGACTGTTGACTGATAACACTGTTAGGTCATTCAAGTTATGAATTCGTCTTTTTTGAAGGGGCACCACACTTGATGGAACACAGATTTAACAAGCATCTTGGCACACTCGATGCAGCATTTTATCCCCTTTTTAAAGGTTGTAGTTTCTTTGGAGCAAAGCCAATGAGCTTTTGAAAAGTTACCAAAATTTGCGACCACGCTTTTTGAGACGCTCAAAATTTAGGATTTTTTAGATTTTCATGTTAGCCTCCGAGAGTTCAAGTAACAGATAAATAGAGCAATCCCTACAAAAAAACAACACTTTTCTTTCCTTTGCACATCCAGCCGTAATTTTTCAAGAAATTAATCAAAAAAACCACCGGATTTTGGCAGCCCTACGCCAGACACAAACGCAACAAACACCAATAAATCTTCAATAAATAATTTCAAATTTTTTGGGCACGGTTTGGGATGCATTCGAAAACATGAAATATGATTTCATCCCCGGATACGAATCGGAAACAAAAAGCAGCCATTAATGACACCCGAGCTGCTCACCGTTTGATATTCTCTGCGAAGTGTGAGTAATCCGAGTATGAAACTAGTATCATAAATTGAAATCAAGAAATGACGAGTTGAGGAAAGAAAAATTGTTTTGCATCCTGTGGTGTTCGCTTTATCCACCTGTTGCTTGGACTCCTTCGGAGGGTTGATATAAAAATTTTAGAAAAATTGTGAAACTTAAGTTGGAAAAGCGTGGGTCGCACATTTTGGTATTTCTTCAAAAGCTCACTTTTTTTGCTCTAATGAAGCCACAACCTTCAAAAAGAGGATGAAATGCTGCATCAAATGGCACCAAGATCTCTAAGGAACCTCTGTTCTAATAAATGTGGCGCCCAAAAAAAGCTTACTTTGGAATGACTTGATTTATAATTGTCACATTGAAAAAGACACTAGCGAGCTAAACTTCTTAGCATTGAGAATTTGTTACCGCAGCGGGGAAACTACGTTACAAACGTAGCACAAGTACATCAACGCCTCTTCTCTGCTTTCCATTTCTGACTAGGCATTTATTCTGGGAGTAATAGCGTAGACCACGGCATCTGTGCAGAATATTTGAAAAAGTATGCGAAACTCTGCTGAAGAGTACAGGTGCTAGTTACAAAAATGCATACGAAACACTCAATATAGTGCGATTCTAGAAAAATAAGGGCAAGAGTTGGTTAAATGTTTCGATTCTTACATCTATCGCTTTATCGTGCTTTCTTAACATGCTAGAATGTCTCTTCTATAAATGCTAATAACTTTTGAAAATTTCTCGACCCATTCTTGGAGGAGCGCCTTCCCCCCCCCCCCCCACCCCTCGCCTGGTACGTTGGAGGAGTAAAACGCAGAAAATTGCAAAGAAATTGCGACTGGAGTTTGTGGCAAATTTTTTATATGGAAACCGTCATTTGCTGATAAGTGAAAAAATGACTTGTTTGCAGCACATAAATAACGATCTGGCTTCTAAAATTTGTGTGTACATGCGCATTGGGAAGTAAGTACGAAGTGTGAAGTTATTCAAAGACATGTATAGCGTCTCTTTTTACCAAATTAGGTCGGCGGCCACCGCCCCAGCGCTACTTTGAAGGTTTCAAAGCTCCAGTTTACAAGATTTTCTGATTTTTTGCATAAATGTTCAGGTGTGCTTGCTGTATAGTATGATTTAATTTTGAACAAAAATGGCAACGATCGCAGGTAACAGCCGACCCTTGGGGAGGAAATCGCGCTGCAACTGAAAGACCTGCGCAGTCGGCAAGGTCAAAGGAAAAGTGTTACAATTCTCAACTTTGAACGTATCGGGTCCCATAGTCGTTGATGACAAACAGCTGCGACTCCTTACCCTTGTTATATGGCCTTATGCTCAAAAATTTGCCACACATGACCAATTCATGCTTTCAATTAGAATCTGAAGCAGTGAACCTAGTCGCTTTTTAGCGCTAGCCCACGACTTTTTCGACTTTTTATTTGAAATGTTCTGTAATCTCAAGAAATCTTTCGGAGTGTGTGGCTAACGCCACGGATAATCCGAAAATGATATAAAGCCCGCTCCGCTCCCCTCCCCCTTCCCCCGAACGCGATCCTGGCACCGCCATTAATGTGCATTGGTTATGCCTCTGACAAATTCCTAAATTTACAATCTATTCTCGTCCAAACTTCCTCTGACTTCGACTGCTGATGCACTGAGGTGTTGTGTCATCATGTGCGCTTTGTGTTGGGTTGTTTATTGCCCAGCCATGGAACAGGTAACGGTTTTGTAAGGACAGATAATCATTATTTGACACCCATTAAATAAATGCAAATTCAACAATAACTGGCCCTTGCAGCTACTCAAAACACTGGTATTTTGTCATTTAAATCTGTGTTGCTGATAGTACTTGGTACTAACTTTGAAAGACCAGAGATTCCCATTAGTGAATCGATCAATTCTCGTGAAAATAAAAACTACCAGCACTGGATAAATGACGTGGTGTTTAAGATGTTCGGCACTTTTTTTGAGGTCAAGGTTCAATCCCTCGTTGCAGGGCTCTGTTGCTAGCAAGCGAATGAACTTTTGAAAGGGCAACTTGATGTTAGAGCAAATGGGAAGAAAACGACCACAGGTCACTGTGAAGGTATATAATTGGTTTTTGGCTCTAAAACGGAATGCTTGTGTAACGACAACAACTGAACGCAAATCCCATCACCTAAGAATACTGTTTAGTTTTTATTGTTTTGCAATCATACCTTTCCTTTTCCCGACGATAACATAATTAATCACGATCTCATGAAGCTATAAACTTGCACATACAAAAATTCAATTAACCGCAATAAACTCAGTAGCAAACACGTATCTGTTCAGGATAAAGTGAGCCTCTGGGGGAACATAGTTGATGTAGACAAACGTTTGTATCTCTGCAAGTAAAAAAGTTAATATTGACACGAAACTGTATAAAGCATTTATCACGTCCGGGGAAACTGTCTACTCCGTTTTCCTCTATCAAGTGCTTTGCTATCTGTCCAAGACTGAGAATCAGCCTCTAAAATGACAGAACTACAGAGTCCGCTTCCTTCTCCTAATTGCACTCGAAAACATAGTTACTTCTTCAAGGACGCGATAGGCTGTTTTGACTATAGATCACATAGATTTCAACAACGCGATCCTGGGTGATGGTTCCCTTGCGATGAAAAGACGGAAGAAATGATCTAAGACATTTAATGATTCAACTTCCGGCAAGCTGTTGAAGGCTGCTCAACAAGGAAAATAAGAATGTCCACTACTCATCAAATAATAAAAAATGTAGTTCTAAAAGGCGGATATTTCTAATAAGTGAAGATGAGACCATCATCTAGGAATTAAACTTTTTTGTTCGCCAGAGCAGCGCAACCACGCATACCCCAAAAGTGCGTGATGGGTACAATTTGTTAAAGCAAAGCAAGCTCTACAAGGTGGCATCTATGCTTCGGCTCTAACTTTGTTCTACCAGAAGTTTGAGGACAAAATATGAAAAGTTTTAGATGCCGAAAAATTCGAAAAAAAAATCACCTTTCCGTCTCAAAAATTTCTACATCCTCTCATTCCACAAGTACATATCGATCCATAAAAAAACGAAAAAAACAAAAATTTTTGTGCTTTTTTTTTCAAAGCAGTGCCGAGCCATTCCTACATAAGTGGATCTATACTACAAGACTTGCGAGTGTGCTCTAATTTTTTAGCCTATACCGTGCACAGTTTTTTAAGAGTTTTTAGTTTTTTTTAGAAACTTCAAACTTTGCCTCCCTCTTTTGGATTTTTGCGAAAAAATCGATTTTTTTTTCAAAAACCAACACTCGGAGTAGGCTAAAAATTTACAGTCATACCTACAATAGCTTTAGTGTAGAATCACCTTTGTAACAACGGATTAGGTTTTCGAGAAAAAAGCGAGAACTGTCGTTCTTTCAGTTTTTTGTCAAATAAAGCTACATTTATCGTACGTCGAGTGTATATATATATAATTAGAGTTTGTTCCATTGGATGTTCTATTGAAAGTTTAAAGCCAGAACATAAAAAAATTCTGAATGCTCACAAAATCGAAAAAAATCAGGTCTCTTTTCGAAAAAACCTTCTTTGCTTTACTGAGTAGTATCCCAAATAGTATACTACAAATAGTATACGCAATCTTGGAGCGTGCCTGCTTGCGGTGCTATGGCGAGCAAATAAGAAGCAACATTATTTTCTTGACAAATACAAGTTTTTTCTGAAACGTTTATGCAAAGAGTCCGTTACGAAAAAAAGAGTTAACTGTGCAGCGTTCTGCAAACAACGCTTTGTGTTATCAGTTTCAATGCATTTGAAACTGTAACTAAACTATAACTTCTAGATGTGCTTGTATTTAAACACAGCATTCTAATAATTGCACAAATTCATCAACACTGCGCTCGGTTTCCACTACCTTCAACGGTATGTACTTCGCTATGCTAATAGGCTTAGAATAATAGACCTTTTGATGATTATATAAGTTGTTGCTGCTAAAACATGTGCCTATCCTTGAACGCAGCGCGTGTCTACTATTCACTTTACTAACATAAAAGCAGTTGAAATTCTTGTCAACTGAAAATGAAGCCGTCATTGCTAACGGTGAGTTGCAATTCAACCGCGACTAAAATACATGCGCATATTATATACATAAAAGAAATGTGTAGATTGTGAAAGTAGAAAGCTACTCACAACTATATAAGTTAGAAGTTGCAGTCTATCTCAGTTCATGCATTTATTGCGCTTACTGAAAGTTATATAGTTTGATTGTGCGCAGCTTCCTCTTCATTCAGAATCTGCGAGAACCCATAGCTTCAACTTTTGTGCATTGTCTCCTTTTAAGATCGTTATCCTCACTGGCAGTGTTCACTGGAGGAATTTGGGAATTATTCAATCAACTTTTTGGCGATAAAGCAGAATCCGAGGAGCACAACTTGATTCCGGGCGACGTTGAAAATGGCTACAAGGGAGGAAAATCTGTTGACAATCTCGACGATACGGAGACTAATGAGATTTTAACTAAAGACATAAAATGGATTTACACCGAAAATCGCATTGGCGGGACTTATACATCAAAGGGCGACCACGACCGAAAAGGGCTATCAGCGTATCTTGCAGGAGTTGAATCAGTACATCGAATACCTCGTTGGAATAGTACCAGAACCAATTTATGTTTATGATGACTATGATCTAGAAGAAGGTGATGTTGGTAACTTTGAATGGAATCCGGATCCTAGTGATGATAGTGATTATTGGGAAGATTATGATTTTCATGATGAATTAAAATATATTTGCATCACAAAGAGTCAAATTTACAGTAATACAGTATTTATATTAGTGTTATTGCAGTATTTACAGTAATTTTCAAAATTTTTCAGAGATTGGTGTTATCCTTGCCCCTTAACCCTATAATTTCGCTGTCATGGGCCCTAGTTATGGGAATCCTGGAAGCGCCAATAATGTGCATTAATTATGCCTCTGAAAATTTCCTAAACTTGCAATCTATTCCCGTCCAAAGTACTTCTGCTCTATTGCGCTGAGATGTTGTCATTAGTTGTCATTAATAGCTAAATTGGCTCAATCTCATCTCTTTCATCAACATCAAGTACCTGTTATAGCAGGCTGTTGTACCTTCGATACTGCAGTGGAGGGCCACAAAGCAAAATGAAATTAATTCAACATATGGCAACAATACCAAAACCTTTGTGTTGAGCTGTTTATTGCTCAGTCAAACAGGTATCGGTTTTCTGAGGACAGATAATCATTAGTTTGACACCCATTAAACAAATGCAAATTTAGCAATTACTGACTCTTGCAATGTTCAAAACCTGTTAATTTTATTTTGCAAATTTGTGTTAGTGATAGTACTTGGTACGAACTTTGAGAGACCAGAGATTGTCACTTGTAAATCGATCAACTCTTGTGAAGCAGTAATAGAAACTACCAGCACTGGATAAAGACGTAATGTTTGAAATGCGCGGCACTATATTTCTTTGAGACGAAGGTTCAATCCTATGTCGCTGCAGGGCTCTGTTGCCTGTGAACGAACGAAGTCTTAGTTTTTTCAGAAGGGCAATTTGATTGTAGAGCAATCTAGAAGTACAACGTCCACAAGTCACTGTGAAGCTTTATAAATTGGTTTTTGGGTATAATACGGGATGCTTTTGACGTAAAACGCACAACAAGTGGACGCATGTCTCATCTTTTTTTCCTGAAATTACTGTCTAGTTTTTATTGTCCTGCAACCATACCTTCCCTTTTTCCGACAATAACATAATTAATCACAGAACCCAAAAACCTAGCAAAAATTCAATCAATCGCAATAAAGAGCAAGGGCATACACGTGTCACGTGTTCAGGAGTATTCGAGGGAACGAAGTCGATGTAAACAAACATTTAAATCTTAGTAAAAAAAACTCAGTATTGACACGAAACTTATATAAAACATCATGTTTCGGTAAATCTGCGTACTCCTTTTCCTCTATCGCGTGCTTCGCTATCTGCCCAAAGTTTAATCAACACCCTCTAAAACACCGAGGACTGCAGTATCCGCTCAAGTTTCCCAGTTTGCAGCTCGAAAATGTAGTTTCTCCTTCAAGAACTTCGTCTACTGTGACTAAATCAGATCATTCTCATAATCACCAACACGATCCTTATACTGGTCAGTATTGCGATGTTAGGACAGAAGAAACAATCTAACAAGAAAAGGATACTCGGTGACGGTGGTCATTTGGAATGCGATGTATACCGTGATTTGCAACCCGAAACGCTGATTCTGAATTTGTGCTCGATCTCTGCGAAACGATCCTCTTAAGGAAGTTATGAAATTTTTTTCGTGGAAAATTTGCGTACTTTTGAGGAGTTGAAATCACCAAATTTCTTCTAGATTACAGTTTGAAGCTATTGAAGGGAATCTTAAAAGGAATACTGTGTGTTATGCCTATCTAAACCATATTCAGCTTTCAAAAAGGAAAGGAAATTTATTAATGATAAATTTGACCCTCCGCAGCACTCTATTTATGAAAAAATCTATAAAAATCATATCTCCATCCAGGTTATCGTTTCGCGGATATGGAAGACAGTATTCAAACCCGCATTAAAAGGTATATTTTTTGATCATAAACATGGCCACGCTCACCAAATATCCGTATCCTTCCCGCGTAAGTCACAATGATTTGTCGATATTTCCCTGCAAGATATCGAAGGCTGCTCAACAAGAGAATTAAGAATTGACTGTTCATGGTGAACGAATTGGATTTCAAAGCGGAAAGCAATTAGTAAATGAAGTGTGAGGAAATATCCAAATCAAAAATGCGAGTTTCTAGGAAACTTTGTGGATAAAGTCCAGGCTATGGAAAAAGAGTTATAGCTGTGCAGCTTTTTGCAAACAACATTTTCTTTAGTGGCGAGATATGTGAAACCTTGGATGTGCTTGTATCCGAGCATAGCATTCTAGTAGTTGCACGAATTCCGTTATTAACATTGCACTCTTTTCACTATCTTCAATGGAATGCACTTCGCATATTAGACTCAGAATAACGGGCTTTTCAACAATTATGTAAGTCGTTGCTGCTAGAACATGTGCGTATACCTGAACGTAGCGCTCTTGTCTACTATTCACTTTGATAGCATCAAAAGCAGCTGGAGTTTTTGTCAACTGAAAATGAAACCGTCATTGCTAACGGTGAGTTGCATTTTGGTCGGTCAAGACTATATATATATATATATCAGTGGTGGTCCCAGGATTCCCGTCCGGAGGGAGGGGCGGCAAATATTTTTTTTTCAAGGAAGGTGCGAAGGTGAAGGTCACCCACGCTCTCCGAAAAAATTTTTCGGGTGCCTGTCAAAATTTTGGGGGGCTCCAACCTAAAATCTGGAGAAAGGGGGAGTGGCGTCAGCCCCTCCCTTCCCTTCGAAAATTTTTTTACAAGGCTAATTTGAGTTTTCAAAAATTTTTAAAGATAATTCCATTTGTTTGCAAGAATAAACAAGTTTTGCGCATTTTTTTAACCAGTAATTTTCAAAAATTTTGCCCCCCCCCTTTCCCCCTTTCCCCTCTCGGTCCGCCACTGACATACATATATTATATAAACAAACGAGATTTGTAGATTGTGAGAGTAGGAAGCTACGCACAACTCAATGAGTTTGCAGTCTATTGCAGTACATGATTTTATTGCTCATATTTATTGCTCATGACTAATTACATGTGCGCAGCTTCCTTTTTTCAGAATCTGCGAACAAACGAATTTATAACCTCAATTTTTGTGCATTGTCTCTTATATTTTGAGATCATTTTCCTCACTGGCAGTGTTCACTCAAAAACAATCTGGAGCTTATTCAATGCACTTTTTGGCGATAGTGTAGATTCCGAGGAGCAAAACATCATTCCGGAAGACAATGGAAACAACAGGGAAGGAAGACCTGTTGACAATCGCTTCGATGGTATGGAGAACAATGAGATTACACTTAGACATCCCGTTACGGGCAAAAAATGGAGCTATGACGACAACCGCCCTGGATGGACTTATCAAGTAAAAGGTGACATTACGACCGAAGAAGGCTATCAGAAGGTCTTGCAGGAGTTGAGTGAATACCTCGGAAACCTCACTGGAATACAACCGGGGCCAAATTATATTTATGATAATGCTATAGATTTAGAAGAAGGTGAAATTGATGACTTTGAATGGTACCCGTATCATAGTGATGATAGTGATTATTGGGATAGCGATTGGGAGAATGATTTACATGATGAGTTAAAATAAATCTGCATTACAAAGAATTAGATTTACATGATCAGTTTATACCCTGATTAAGTGTCACATATTTCTATCAAATAAGAACGAGCCAAAGAAATTGTGTGGGTTTCAATTCTCATACAAAACTCTGAGTAGCAGTACATGACCTACTGTTTCGTTAGCCGGACCTATATATTTCATTCAGATCCCTTTTCAGTTTATGAATTAGGAGTAGGACCCATACTGGCCGAGTGTGAGTAAAGCTTTTCGTGCCAAAGAAAAATTAAGCTTGATTCAAGATGCCATCTATGCATGCAGATCACTATCATTGGTGCAACGTCCATCAGTCGGAGTAATAACTGCTCTGCTATAGCGAATGTGAATCTTACGTTAGTTCCCAAAGCTTTGAAACTTAAACCTTTTGCTCCTTTTCTAATGTATGTCGATTTATTTTGCTTTCCACTATCTTTCCTAATTATCAAACAAGCATTCGAAGCAGTTTATAGTTACAAGAATAATTTGAGAAGTTCAAACTTCGCAAATAGAAGATGAGAGACGAGTGTTTTGGGTCCAGAAGACCATACACTCTCAAAAGGATCTGATGTTTAAAACTTCACTCCATGTTATCTAGACCGGTTTGCTTAACATTAATTTGTAAGAAAGAGTAAAACGTAACTCTCTAATGATCTTCTAGAAGTTTCCAAGAGAAAAATCCTAGAGATCAAAAGAAAAAAATAATACCTCAAACGCTGCATAAATCATCAGTAATTGGTTTAATGATTTTTATGGTTATGACTTTTGTTTACTACAAAAGTCCTGAAATTGAGAACATCAGCGCTTGCCTTGTCATGAAGAGTGAACCATGAAAATATACTGATGCCGTTGATTTACTGCAACCAGTTATAAAAGTTAGAGAATCTAGAAACCTTCCTAAATTGATTTTACCAAGAATGGCCAAGTTGCTTGTACGAAACTCCGACATTCTCCTCTCAACAGAATTGTTTCAAGGAAATTTGCCGATTATTACGTATTATCGAGGCTGGGGGGGGGGGGGGGGGGGGAGGGGGGCGAAGGCCAGAAAGGTTGCGAAATGCTCCAAAGTCACTTACATGAGTATACATTTCATTTGTAAATGACTGAGATAAATTCAGTTCAAATTAGCTTTGTGAAAAATCTTCCTTGGGGCCTGAAACATTGTATGGCGAAAATTTTGAGCGCTTCCAAAAAAAAATCAGGATTGCGTAGCGCGTCGTTTCGTTCCCACATCCTATTTTCCTTCCCTCCATATCTCCCGGAGAGATATCATGGGAAGCCACGTTATGTGTGTACCTTTTTATGTACATATGTATATAGAAGAGGAGCATACTTTCTTACTGCTGCGCACAATTTTCTGCGCTCCGATTATTTACTTCAACTAAAAAATTGGATGAGTGTGAAGGGGATGAAACAAGAACAATCACAATTGCAATTCAAAAAAAATTGAATATTTTATTACATTTTCATGTTAGTTCTGACTGTATCTAACACTCGCCATATTCGCCTAAATTAGCAATTCGAGAAGATGGCCGTCTTAGTTCCTAAACAGAACGAAGAGCTAGGAGAGTGTTTAGCAGTGGATATATGTTTTAGTAACATGGGGAAATCTCGCAATTAGGGTTCTCACACATATAAAGAAACCATTGTTCATGATTTATGAGGGCTTCCGTCTGATTAATAAAATTTTGAAATAATTGCTAGCATAATGGAACTTTTTTTGTTATCTTTAGTTGTCTCAATTTTTTCAACTCCAAAAAACTTTAATGTGGAATACAGAATATGACAAAACATTGTCAGAATCTCGTCATTCGAATAGATTATAACAAATCTAGAGGAACCCAGGTCATAAGATTGGAGTTGCTTGAATGGTTAATTATGCAAAAAATAGGTGCATCTTGACTAAATGATATTCAGTGAAAACCATCAAAGAGCTCCTGCTTTTTGAGGCAGATGTATTCAAATTGCCATGTTGCAACAAACAGCATTACACCTGAAAACATGGTCAGCTATCTATCAAACCAGGTAACTTACGAAACCATTCCACCCATTTAATAGCAGTCTTTGAAGAAACGGCACGACTGATTCAGAATCTTGCACGATGTTAACAATGCAAATTCGAGTATGAAACTCATCTTTGGCTCCGCAAAGAATCAACGATTGGTTTCAGCAGCAATGACTGTTTTTGGATGGAGCGAGCTTTTAACTCGAGGTCTTGACTAACAGAAAAGTCTACATTAGTCTGTGGTTAACATGGCATCATGCATTCATCATTGGAAAAAAAATTGTCTTCAGTTACGCAAATTTGACTGACGAGGAAATGGTCAGAATTTAACCGATCCGTTTCAAACAAGCTGTATGTAATCGGACTCGTCTTGAAACGCTGATTTCAAATATGCGTTCAATGTCTGCTAAACTACTATCTGGAAGGAGTTATGAGGGGTCAAACATGAGTAAATTCCGATTTTCAACAAATATGTTATTCCATTAAAAGGCAGCCTGATGGCGCGGATTTACAATGACTATGGTTAATTTTTTACGAAGAAGAAATGCACATTAATCTTTGAAACGTATTTCATGGAACATGCACCACAGAACACTTGACAAATCGCACATTCAGCTCATAACTCTTTCCAGATAGTCGTTTGGCTGATGATTGACAGACTTTCGGATCAGCGTTTTAGGGCGAGTCCAATGGTATGTAGAATGCATGGTATGGCTGGGTTAAGTTCTGACCATTCCCTGCTAAGTCATATGGTTAGATGCCTGTGGTGTGAGGTTTTTATACGCAAATTTTGCATAGATAAAAGCACATCCCCACTTCAGAGTGGTGACCAGCGTTTCAAGCCGATTCGAACTGTGTACGTCCCAATTCAAAAGTCCAATCCAAACTGAAATTTTTCTCTTGTAAGCATCTATTTATCTAAATATTTTTCCCAATCGTTTATAGCGAAGGTGAGTAGTCAATAAACCTAGTGAAATTTTTTTGACAACATATTCTGTGACACTGCAGTCGTGCAAACGTATATCTCCAGTAACTTCCACCAAACGACCTTCAATTGCGGTTTCAAATCTATTCGATAAACTTCAGTACTTTGAATCCTAATCGTTCTCTTGTTATTCAGCTCTAAGAGCACATCTTAGCATCGATCTGCGCAGCCTTACCAGTTGCCGCCCTGTTGCTAGTGAAAAAAAACTACTGTTGTGCTTAGAAGTACTAAATTGTCCCATAACTCTTTTCATATTTGATCCATAGTCATAAGCCAGTTCCTCCTAAATTCCTAATATGATGCGAGCCGCTGTTTGACAGATCTAAGCTGGCTCTACAAAACTGCAAAAACTCACATCAAGTCCAATAGGCATTGAGTTGCAAGCAAAAATTAAAATCCAAATCCCCAAAAAAAACTTTTAAAAAACTCTGTGATTTTTCACGTTCTCACGCATATACTCTCTCCATCAGATATTTATACATACACTTGCGGCACTTCTGATAGCTAGAGATGAAAAAGCTGAATTTTCAAAATTTCCTGCACCTGTTCTGTGTTCCTCGCAGATATAATAGCTTATTCATTCAGAAATACTGCCCAAATTTGCATTATTTTAGTACCCTAGTACTTGAGAAGCATAATTTCAAAGGTTCAAATCAAATGACTCATAGGGCAATCTAAGAAATGTGTCCATTGATACTTACAACTAGAGTTTTTTCATGTTACAGTTGTGCAGCTCCGCAGTGATGCAGCAGTTGCAGCGACTGCAGTAAGTATGCGTTTTCAATTCTCTTCCTTTCAATCTTGTTACTTCGATCTTAGAAGTAGAAGAGAAATTTTACATCCATGCATTCTCGAACCTGTTTTACTTAGATTGCGTCAGATATTGATATCTACATTTGGAACGTATAATCCGCCTCGTTTAACCCGTTGTTGACCTGAGAAAATGGATCATATAGTATCGAAATAGTAGACTGGCCCAAAATTCAAATTTCAAAAACTCCCAACTTCTTGTTCTTCAAATTATTTGCTAGTATTTATTTTTGTTTGAAAAAGTAGGTCCTGATCTTCGTAACAACTTAGCCTTTCATTAAACAAGCATTGCATAGGTAGAGGTGGTAGAAAAAAATTTACTCAAATTTTGATTTTTCGTGTTTGGTCGTTCGCGAAAAATTAGAAACTTGCAGTAAAAATCGGAGGAGTCTATATTTCAGGTTTTTTTACCTGCTTATTCTGATTGAGGAAAATTTGTGCTGATAGCCCTAATTCTCGAATTTTTCCGATGAGGAAGAACGAGTAAACTAGTAAGCAAAGGGCATTGCGAGGAGGGACCGGCATGAGTCCGTTACTAAATTCTTCAAAAAGCCTAAAAAAACTTACTAGGCTTTTTGAAGAAGTCCTCCTGACCTTCGCAATATTTTACGAAATCCCCTTTGACCCTTGTCGGAAATGTCGAGAAAATAACCTAATTTAACCTATGTTTTTTCACCCACAAAAACGATACCCCACTCCACAATAGCACAAGTTTTGGGAAGCAACATCTCACATATACCACGAGTATAAGCTCAGGATTGTTCATTTTTCGATTCCAAAAGTCCCGAGTCGGCGATATTGTAGCGAACTGCCTAGCCCATCTTACGCTTTGCCTTGTCTAATGCCGTAATTTCCGGCAATATCGTTGGAGCATTAAGGATCAACAGCATCGACCATATCGTCTATAAAAAAAGAGCCAAAATTGCGGTCCTTCCAGGAAGTCGATACCGCTGATCGGTGGCTCTGCCTTTTTCATGACGTGCGTGCTATCAAAGGTAAACGGCGGGTCTTGCTGCTTCTATTCTGCGCTGTTCTTTGGTCTTACTGTGATGGCCACTTGGTAAAAACGCCGGTACAGACCGCTGTTTTTTTACTTCTGTTGCTTTACGATCTTATACACGGCATCGTTCCCGAGAAGCACATGGGACCGTCAAAATCCTCAAAAGACATGTAACCATTTTGACTAGATTGCTG